GTTCTGTAAAAGTCTGTATGCCTTCAGTGGACACGTAAAGCTATTCATAAATCACGAAGAAGGAAAATCGATGAATGTACATGTACATAGAAAGCTCAAACTGCCCTCCAACAAATAATTAGACTTGTGAAGGAAACTTTGGAAATCATCTAAAGTTCCCCAGAGACTCTGGTGTTTTGAACTGCTGTGTAGGTAGACTCATGTTTATCCTGGATGGGATTCTTGATTAAAATGGCAGAGAGTAAGAAATTGCCTAAGTTTGCAGTGGTTAGGCCACCAAACTAAAATATATTCTTTAGCAAAATAATGGTTTCGCTGTTTCTTGACTTTTTTTTTTGTTTTTACTCTTTTATTCAACAATTTTGATTTAATTTCAGCTGTAGGAGTTATTTTTAATGCATGTTGTACTTGTAAGAGTGCCATTCGATATTAAACATCCCCTCTGCCCACCCAGCCCCCCCCCCATCCTACGCTGAGGGCGATTTTTATTTTCCTTCCTAGCTGCAACTCCAAAAAACAGTCGAGCAGACACCACAAGAAAGGCCCTCTAGGTCACTAGAAGATGTAAACTCAACATTGGACGGCAAAAGAAAAATATCTCCTTTCATTCAAATTATACCGGCGGTGGGGGGCCTATAAAATAAGAAATTAAATTTAAATGCAAACTCAGCAGTAAAATTAACTAATATTACCAACACCAGTTTCTTTTTCACCAATTTTCAACTCTTTTTGGTCAATTAGGACTTTCTAACTCATTTAAGACTGTGACTTAAATGGTGACTCATTTAAGTCACCAAAACTGCACATTTTGACATTTGTGTGTTTTTGTCCGTTGAGGCACTACTGGCGCGCTGTCGGAAGCGGCTCAGCACATGCGTACAGCAGAATAAGACCATTTGATAATCATCTTCATCCAGTGTCTGCGCTATTTCTTGCCAGAAGTTCTAAATGATAACACTGCCTTTATACTCGTTTAAACTAGAGTTGTGGATATCTCATAACCAGTGTTGGGGGTAATGCATTACAAGTAACGCAAGTTATGTAATCGGATTACTTTTTTCAAGAAACTAGTAAAGTAATGCATTACTTTTTAATTGACAAGAAAATATCTGATTTACTTTTTCAAATAAGTAATGCCAGTTACTTTGTTTTCTCATGCATTGACTGACAGCTCTCCTGTGATAAGAGAAATCGGGAGTAAGTGCAGAGGCGTTGTGTGCACTGTGTGAGCATGTTACTGTAGTTCTAGACTAAATGTCAACATTCCCCAACACTGCTCATAACCCCCTTACACAAGCGCTTGTCAATGCTGCCGTCTATTGATGTCGCGGTCTCCAGTAGATTGTTGTTGTTGCATCTCTTCCTTCTCTTTTTCGGGTGTGAAACAATGGCCCGGACCAGTGTTGCCACCTTGTGGACAAACGAATTAGTGCAAAAAAAAATTCAAGGCCTATGTGCGACCCAACCGAGCGGCAACCTTCCGCTCTCTCACAATTTTCAACTGTAATGATTAAACAAAGGCTAAAAATTTTTTAAAAGTAGGCTATATTTATTATATAATAATTCCCCATGGCAACAGTTTCACCCTCAATTATACATGGCTAAGTTTATAAGGAAGACGAAGGGAGTTAAGCAAGATCGTTAGCACATGGTAAGTCAGTAGGATTGTCTCAGTGGTATTTGATATGTTTACCTGACATTCAGTCTAGGGTTAAAAAGAAATGTAATATCCAAGCGGCAACCTCCCGCTCTCTCTCCTGAAGCCAACAAGGAAGTGACTTAAACTGTAATTCATCAAACTGGCCGCTAGAGGCTGGCTGCAAAAGGGAGTCAATCCCATAGACTCCCCATGTTAAAATGCCTAACTTTACAGCAGAAAAAAACATGTTTACAGCCTGGTTCAAAAAATGATTTTGGTCTATATAGCTAATTTTGCCCTTCATGACAACTGTGATGGGGGTGAATTTTTTTTTATAACTCATCCGTTTAAATTATATTAAGCCTTAAAGTTCTGCATAATTAAGGGTGTGGCCACTTGAGTGACAGGTGGATTGCCGCTGCTGTCACCACCATCGAGCTAGGTGGGCGTGGTTTCAACAACCAGCTCCCGTCTCTTTGCCCATCTTCGAATATCCGGGAGTGACGCACTGTGACGTGCTGCCAAGATGGCGACGGCTGCCTCCGGCCACTTTTGAGCTTCAAAAACTATCTTCGGAACCCTACGGGTGACGTCATGGACACTACGTCCATGTTTTTATACAGTCTATGGACCCAACGCTATCTCACGGCCAATTTGTATGTATTTTATGAGGTGGCTAGTTCGTACGACCTCACTCGTACAATTTTGTACGATTTCTGTGACCGTTAAGCTTAGGGGCGGTGTTAGGATGGTCCTTTGTACGAATTCCAATGAATCTGCCACCTCGTAAATACGTAAGATTTTTCACCAATCATATGAATTTGTACAAGTGAGGTCGTATGAATTCATACAAATTAGCCACTTTGTCAAAAATGTACGAATTGCCGTGAGATCGGGTTGTGCGACCTGCGCATATTCTTCCCACGGGCCGGATGAAGATGATTGGCAGGCCAGATTGGGCCCGCAGGCCACCAATTGAATAGCCCTGTTCTAGAGGCTGAACAGTATATCATGAGTCCCTCTCTTCTGTAATACGGTGGATCGTCTTAATATAGTACATCCCCACTTTCAACGATGCTCAATATTTGTATTTGTAGCTCCTGCCAACAGGAACTGCTTGCAAGTGGTGTTTGTTTCCTATAAAAGCATGTTAATTCAGAGGCAGCCACAGTGTAAACTAGCCTGGCATTTTACAGATGTAGCCTGTTAAACTAAATCACTGTACCTGCCTGTTCGTTTCATATGGCTACGGGCAGGATATCGAGCCAAGTCTTAACGTGTGTGATCTCTGTTATTGCAAATTTATTTTTAACATTTTGAAAACATTCTGCCTGCCAAATTGGTCCTTCATTATGTGGTGTTCATTTGAAGATTTTAAATATTATGTCTAAAATTAACTGCCTTGAATGACTTGGTGGGGGAAAACAGTTTTTTTTTTTAATTTATAAAATTACAAATTAAATATGTACTCATACATATTTATAATAAAATGGAGGAAACTGTGCAGTTACTGTAAGTATTTTTAAAATGTTCTTTATATTATTTGTGAATTTTTATTTATGAAATTGATGTTGTGGTCACACAAATTAGTTATTTTATGAAATAAGATTCATTTTTGAACAGTGTATGTCTGAATTTTTTTTTTCATGAACATTTAATGACATCAAGTGACAATAATAAGGGTGGTTGTATTGCCATCAAGTAGCACATTGTCATATTTAGATGCATTCAGTTATAAGAGACAATGCTAATATTTAAATAAGTGCAATGCATTTGTGATGTGGGTGTGAAGAGAGAAAAAAATATTTACACAAGAATTGGTAATGAGCTTTGAGCCGCTGGGTATGCCTGCATAATGTTTAATGCCTTTCATAATTAACATAGCAAAAACAAACCATAAATTAAAAGTGTTATTCAAATTGTAGAATGTGTTTCACTTTCTGAAGCATTTCAATATTCAGTTGAAAGTCCTTTAAGGTATATTGTGGTGCTATAGATGTTTTCCCCCAACAAGTCCATATGTCACATAATTCGATGCAAGCATAACAATACCATTGTTTATAAGCTTACCTTACCTGTTTATCATGTAACTGTGAAACTGTACATCACTAAGCTTCACGCTACTCATGATTTAATATATTTAAAATGCAGTTAATAGTTTTTTAAAGTAGTTTGCTACACTGCAAGGGACTGACAGTTTACACTGAAGGCGTTTAAAAGGGCAACAACTTTTTGAATAAATACTGCATTAAACTTGAACCAGAGACACATTACTTGTGTCTCAAGTAAATGTATCTTGATTTAAGAATGTTTAGATATTTTTAATGGAAAACAAGTCTGAAGGAGAACATTTTTTTTTTTGCAATGAAGTTGACTTTGCGCTGAAATTAAATATCTGACACATTCCATACATTCCAGACTTTTGATACATTCTAACGACAGCATTCTTGATGTGTTTAAACAAATACCTACAAGCAGGATCACAGAGCCGCCCAGAGCCACTGCCAGGCATACATCTGCGTGCTGTGTGAAACCAGTGAGTCACAGAGCGTGATAGTGGTTTGTCACATGCTCTTCTTCACACACCTGGCTGTCAGGTACCAAATAATGTATTGTCTCTTACAGGAATCCCTCATTTGAAGAACAGAAAGTCTGACTCATTCACACACGCACACTCATACCAAGATAGATGCACAGTGGCAGGCATATGTTGTGTCTCTATGAGTAAGAAACTGAAAGAAGAGATGCACACCTCCACATTATAAGCAGCTCTCCTCACATCACCTCAGGGTCAGTGGGGACAGGCTGCAGCATGCCAACCGACTAAGAAGGATGAAGAGGTAGAAAGAGAGCAGGAGGGAAAGAAGCGTGCACATATGCGGAGAGGGAGACGCTCGGCATTCGCGCCCCCCTCCGAAGACTCATGACTCACAAGGGGTGAGCAGCAGCATCACACCCACCCCTTCCCTCTCCAGTGCCAGGAAGAGCCGGCGAACCACGCGTCTCCAGAAGGAAAACAGAGGAAGGCAGTGGAGGAAAAAAGTTGGCCCACATGACTGCAGTGATGTCACGAGCATGTGACCCTGCTTCTCCAGTGACAGTGTTCTGCGGGAAAGAAAAAAGATTTTTTAAAGGCTCGTGCCTCTTTGGGTTTGTGTGAAGGCTCTGCTCACCTCCCGAGCAACCACAGAACCGCAGAAAAGTTCGGCTCGGGATTTTTGCACGGTGGCACTTAAATGGTTAACTGTCGCCGGTCAACTTCAGGTTTGAGGACCGCACCAACTAGTAAGTAAGCTTCAACCACACTATCCTCTGCAGCGAGCTTGGCTCCGTGCTGTCCAATAAGGCGATAGAATTTTGCATTTTTTCCTAAACCAGAACTGGTCATTACTTGTGGTCATGAAAATAGTTCATACAAAAACGCATTTTTTGTGGATGTTTTTTCCTTTTTTGCATCTTCCCCTGGGACGCCGCGCACTCTCAACCTAAGAGGGTCACCGAAAACCGCAGAGAAGCAAAATTTGGGCGACCATGGCATCCAACAGCCTCTTTAGTTCTATGACCCCATGTCAGCAGAACTTCTTCTGGGGTAAGTGCCCGAGATTTTCACTCTGTTTTTGACCATGCGGTAGAGTGTATAATAAGGATCTACATTTTGAGAGGCAACAATCATGTGTTGATGTTTACAAACATTCAGCAAGGCCAACCGTCGGAAAGCCTGGCTGCATGCAGGAACCGATGTAGGAAAGATCGGGTGCTGAAGTGTCATTTTCAGCGTAATGCATGCTTTTTGGGATGTGCATCATAAAAGCAGGGGTATGAAATCTAATATCAAATAAATTAAGTGAATATTTGACATTGACTGTTAGGTTAGTGGGTGTGTACAAACTGAAAGCCCAGAAGCGTTACAGTTGAGAAAGGCACCTTAAAGTCTTAAAAAGTTGAGAAATGTACTAGATAGTCTTTGCAAAATGTGTGTAATTAAAAATATAGTGTGTGCATCTTTACTATGCATCTTTCTCAGACTGCTTGCCTGCATATATATATTTTTTTTTTTTTTTGT